GGAGGCATCACAATCCCTGACTTCAAAACATACTACAAAGCTACAGTAATCAAAACAGCACGGTACTAGTACAAAAACAGGTGCAGAGATCGATGGAACAAAATTGAAAGCCCAGAAATAAAACCACGCATCTATGGACAGCTTAGCTTTGACAAAGGAGCTGAGGGCATACAATGGAGAAAAGAAAGTCTTTTCAACAAATGGTGCTGGGAAAACTGGAAAGCCACATGTAAAAGAATGAAAATTGACCATTCTTTTTCACCATTCACCAAAATAAACTCAAAATGGATTAAAGACCTAAAGGTGAGACCTGAAACCATAAGGCTTCTGGAAGAAAACGTAGGCAGTACACTCTTTGACATCAGTATTAAAAGGATCTTTTCGGACACCATGCCTTCTCAGAGAAGGGAAACAATAGAAAGAATAAACAAATGGGACTTCATCAGATTAAAGAGCTTCTTCAAGGCAAATGAAAACAGGATTGAAACCAAAAAACAACCCACTAACTGGGAAAAAATATTTGCAAGTCATATATCTGACAAAGGCTTAATATCCTTAATATATAAAGAACTCTCACAACTCAATCACAAAACATCAAACAACCCAATCAAAAAATGGGCTGGAGACATGAACAGACATTTCTCCAAAGAAGATATACTGATGGCCAATAGGCACATGAAAAGATGCTCATCATCGCTGATCATCAGGGAAATGCAAATCAAAACTACACTAAGATATCACCTTACACCCGTTAGAATGACAAAAATATCTAAAACTAATAGCAACAAATGTTGGAGAGGTTGCGGAGAAAAAGAAACCCTCATACACTGCTGGTGGGAATGCAAACTGGTGCAGCCACTATGGAAAACAGTATGGAGATTCCTCAAAAAACTAAAAATAGAACTACCATACGATCCAGCCATCCCACTACTGGGTATTTATCCAAAGAGCCTGAAGTCAGCAATCCCAAAACTCCTGTGCACCCCAATGTTTATTGCAGCTCTGTTTACAATAGCCAAGACGTGGAAGCAACCTAAGTGTCCATCAACAGACGAATGGATAAAGAAGATGTGGTACATATATACAATGGAATACTACTCAGCTGCAAAACAGAACAAAATCATTCCATTTGCAATAACATGGATGGACCTTGAGAGAATTATGTTAAGTGAAATAAGCCAGCAAGAGAAAGATAATCTGTATATGACTCCACTCATATGAGGAATTTAAAACTATGGACCAAGAACAGTTTAGTGGATACCAGGGGAAAGGTGGGGTGGGGGGTGGGCACAAAGGGTGAAGTGGTGCACCTACAACATGACTGACAAACATTAATGTACAATTGAAATTTCACAAGATTGTAACCTATCAATAACTCAATAAAAAAAAAAGGAAAAAAAAAACAGTTGAATAAAGACAAGTGCTAGTCAGTAGGTAAAGATTCTAAGAGGGTAAAAGTATAGGCAATCCAGATCACCAATTGGCGGAATGGTCTTAAACAGAGATCTCAGTTATAAGGAGAGGAAGTATGTGTCTGTAAGTTTGAATGTTTAGTAACAGGAAGTTAAAGAAGTTCTCATCTGATGACCTCTGTTTTCTCTGTGTAGTAGGAGACAAGGTCATCTGCTGATAGTAAAGAAATTGGGAATTTTAAGAAAGTAGAGAAGGTTTGGAATACTGTTGTAGAAAGCGATAGAGCAAATTGACCAGAGGAAAGTAACAGGACTGGTAAGCCACGTTGAAGGCCTGTGTAAGATTGTTAAAAATGAACTCACCAGTTTCTGCCCTCCTGTGTGACTTTCTTAAGCAGTAATCACTTCTTGAAGTAGAAGTGGAGAAAATGTATGGTTGAATTCATTTAGAGTTCGGATGGTTACTGGCATAATACCATGGTTCTCAATCAGGGACATTTTTCGTTTATGCTTTCCAAGGGATATTTGGCAATGTCTGGAGACATTTTTGATTATCAAGATGATGGGGGGGATGTAAGGGACTGATACAGGCATCTAGTGTCCAGGGATGCATCTAAATGTCCTACAATGCACAGGAGAGCACAAGAATTATCTCCAAAATGTCAGTAGTGCCAAGGTTGAGAAGCCATGGTCTAGGATTACCTTGATGCTCACCGACAGCTGACCCTGGTCTTCTACAAGCTTTTACGTGGACTACGGCCCAGAGCTTATAGAGTAAAGCAGTTCTTCCCTTGCGTGCTTGTTAAGGAGAGTAGAATGAGCAACATACCTCAGACCTGAGTGTTTCAAGGTCTTATGATGTCACAAATACAGAATTGGAATAGTTCCCCAGTCCTCTAGAAGCAAATCTGGATTTACACATAGATGAAGGGAGCTGTTTACTTTGATTTGAGGCATTGAAGGTCTTGTTAAACATAGATATTATTAGAAGTTCAATAATATAGGAGTAGCTCTTCACACATTATCAATCTTAATGTAACTTGGTTTATCTGACTAATTTCCGTCACTAAAATAGGATCCTGAGGGAATGGGCGTGGGCTAAGTTTAATAATAAATATAAGTACATTAAGTACTAATAAGAATATAATCATTAGTATTGATGGATTGTCTGCTCTGTGATAGGTACCATTATGGATAGGCACTTGACCTCTGTTATGTCATTTAATCCTAGCAACACCTTGAGAGATAAAACATCATTATCCTAATTTTAACTGTGAGGAAAGTGAGGTTCCAAGGAAATTTGTAATTTGCACAAAGTCACAAATTACTAGTAGCTAGGTCAAAATTTGAGTTCAGGTCTGTGTGTTCTAAAGCTCTTGCACCTTCCATTAAGCTTCAGTAAGTTTTCCAAGAAGGAATGGTTGGAAATGTAGCCGAAACAGTCGCCGAAAGGGAATGGTAGAGACTTAGGAAGAGAATCAAGAGGGAGGCCTGGAAAGAGCAAAGAGAATGAAGGAACCAGGGAGGCTGGTCGTAGGAGAGTCCAGCGCAGCAGACTAACTTCGCAAGCCGGCATGCCCTTTGTCTTTCATTCTTTTAGAGTATGTAAAACCTCTTTCCCCTGTGTCCGTTGTTCACTCTCGTGGGTTCAAATAAAGCTAGATTATTGAGAAAGGCGGACCGCAAAGAAAAAAAAAGGGAGCGCTACGGCGACGGTGTGCGCCTGCGCGCTGGCGGCGGCGGCGGCGGCGGTACCCAGAGGGGAGCGGGTCCGGAGCGGGCCGCCGGACCCAAAACCGAGGGGGGCGTCTGGGGTGTCAGGGAGCTCCCTCTCCCGGGCCTCGGCGGCTTGATGGAGTAAGAGGGGTCGGCTGTGAGTGTGAGTATCGAGGGGCCGGGCTGCGTTGAGGGGTATCGGAGCCCAAGGGTCCTGGTGGTCTGCCCCTTAGGGAGGTTTGGGGCTCCAGGACGCGGCCGGGTCTCCGCTCCTGCAAGCTGCGGCGCAGGGGCAATCAGGTCGTCCTCTCTCCCAGGGCCGCGCGGGTTTACGGGCAGGCGCTGCTTCTGGCTTCGGGGTACAGATTCTCGCGGGGGCGTTCCGGCTCTGCGCCTAGCCGGAAACGTGGCTGCAGAGCCTTGACCTTTAGGAGAGGCCGTTGACCTCCTTCGGCCTTTGGTGCCGCAGGGAGCCCATAGACCCAAGGTGCTTAACGGCCTACGGGTCTCATGCCAGGAACACCTTTCGACCACTTGTGACTTCCAACCTCTGTTCTTTTTCCTTCTTCCGTCTTCTCTCCCTATGGGATGCGTCTTAATAATAGTTACTAATTATGGAGCGCTTACTGAGTGTCAATTTAATATTTAGTCGGAATGTGGGTGCCTAATTATGGAGAGGAAGTGCTTTGCACCCCGCTCCCCCTTCAATCTGCTCAGTTTAATTATCTTTGAGAGTCAGAATCATCTTTTGAGATTAAGCCATCTTGTTGGAAAATTTGAGATTTCCATCGCTCTTGGACAGCCATCCTGGTTAAGGGAAGTTCTCTTACCTAGCAGATGAGTGCTTTATCCACCATGATGGTTTATATCGCATTTACTCAAGCCAGAATAACTTTTGAACACTTTCTAAGAGCCTAGTACTGTGCTAAACGCCATGGGAAATCTTAAAATTTGTTTTAAGCCCCATTCTCAACTTTAGTCGTGAATGAAACAATGGGAGATAATATTTAGATTCAGCTAGGATTTATTTGGCACCTACCACACATGTGCCAGATACACTCGGGTCTGTGACAAAAACATTGAGATATTGTAACGGGAGGTGGTTTTTTGAAGCACATTTTAGATGAGGTCACTGGGAGTTTGATGGTAAATTTGCTCAAGCTAATTTAGCTAGGGTTAAGTAGTGAACTTCACATGCAGTGCCAAAGCTCATCTTTTTCCTGCTAGGCTAAGTTAGATATTCCAAGCACTTCTGCTGAGAAGCAACTACATTACAGTTATAGTTTCTAGAGTTAACTAATGAGTCCAGAAAGTTGTAGGAGCCTTTAATTAAAGAGACTTGATGGTTTTTGAAGAGAACTTCACAATGGCTTGGAAGGAGGTAGAAAGTGTGAAGGAGTCTGATGCGGTTAGTTTAGAGCCAATTCCTTTGATTAAAATGAAAATATTTCAAAAGGAAAAACTGTGAATGGTGATTATTGTCGATCTGGGTTAGAGCACATGTAGTCTGAAGTCTACTGTACAAGAGAAGCAAGGAATAATGGTAGATGCTAGCCAACTTGGTTCTGGGGCCAGGAATGGCTCAGTGGGAAGTATATATATTGTGTGTTTTGTCATTGCAGTATCTTAGTGGGAAGTTTAGGATTAATTTGTGTACCCAATGATTAAGAGTACCTAGGCAGACAAGTTATGAATGAATACTCCAATTGCATATCCATTGTGCTAAATCTCTAATTGAAACCTTAAAGTCAATTTGGTTTTTTTCCTCCTTTTTTATTTTTTAATCTGAAAGAGACTATCAAGAAATGAGAGTTCCTAAGTGTTTCTTAGTCGAGGACTGGTTAAATAAATTATGCATCCATTAGAAAAAAATGAGCTAGCTCTCTATGTGCTAACATTGAGTGAGTTATAGGAAGTGGAAAAAAATGCAAAAGGGAGTGTGCAGTTTGCAATGTTTGTGATTTTTAAAAATATATGTATTTGCATTTATGTGCATAGAATATCTGGAAGAATACATAAACTGGTAACAGTGGCTGGAGGTGGAGATGGCTGGCAAACAGGAGTGGGAGGGGAATAATTTTCTCTATAAGCTTTTTTGTTTTATTTTTTATTATGAAACTTTTAAACATCCAGAGAAGTAGAGAAAATACCTTATTAACTCCTGTAAATCGATCACTCAGATTTTAAAATCTGTTTATATTTTACGTTATTTGGTTTTATTCCTCACATTCACCCCAAATACTTTAATTAAAAGAACATTTTCCTGCATAACCCAATATCACAGTCACACTGAACAACAATTCCTCTGTATTATCTAATACCCAATCCTTAAAAATTTCCTCAAACTGTCTCCCCTCTCCTTTTTTTGTAACCATTTTGATCCATTTCCCAGTCAAAATCTATGCATTGCATTTGACTGTTATGTCTCTTCAATTGTTTTAAAATTTCTAACAGTTACCTTTTCTCTCTTTCTCTTTTCTCGTCATTACTTGTTAGAGAGCTGGTTAGTGAGGAATCTGATTGATTCCTAGTGATATCATTTAAACTTGTAACTCACATGCTGTGGACTCTAGTTTTCCCCTATTGGTGATGTTGGGATTGATTAGTGAGCTCAGGTGGTGAGTCTGAGGCCTCCCTTGTAAAATTGTAAAATTGCATTTCTCCCCTTGAAACCAGCTAGCCCTTTTGCACCTTTCAAATTTTGAAACAACTAGTATTACCTATTCAAAATGTAAATAATTACCTTTAAAAAGACAAAGCTCACTGCAAGAAATGGCTTCTTTTTTTAAAAAACTGAATCCCTGATAACTAGGTGGCGGTATTCTCATTTTATAGAAGAGGAATTTGAAGTTTGGAGAGATTAAAATTTACTCAAGGTGGTAGACAACTAAGTATTTTTTGTCTAATTCCAAGGTCATGCTTTTTCCACCCTATTTTGTAAACTATAAATTGGTGTATAAATGTAAAATTGTTATTACTCTTCATAGTTATGCTGCTTGTCCCTTCTTTGTATCTTTTTTGACAGGTAATCAGTATCTAATGAGATTAGACTTTTTGGAGTATCAGTAAACCAGGACAGATCTATATAGTGTGTTAGTCTGTAATGAGCCATTCTGAAAGTTCGTAATATGTGAAAGCCAAACCTCTTGATGATTTCTGGAGTTCCAGAAAAAGTTCTGTACATGGAACCATTATGCAGTCTTGGTTCTTGGGCCTAAAGTCTTACGGGTTTAAAAAAAATATTGTGAGTTTAAAAAGATGTTTTTTAAAAAATTTTATAAACAGGGATATATGTGTATTATTGCTTAAATTTTTAGAAAGTACAAAAGGATCTATGTGAAAAGTAAATCCCGGTTTTTTTCTCAGAGGCAATGACTTTCCAGTTTCTTGGATATTCCGCTACATGTGTATATATCATCAGGGTAAATTTTGACATTCATATATAGAAGTGTCTTAGTAGTATAATCTAAAATAATACCGTTGAAGGTTATTCTTCAGGTTTTATTGTTTGTGTTTCTATTCCGAACATCTTTGCCAATTAGTTTTCATTCATTCAACAAATATTGAATACCTATTCTATACCAGATGGTGTGCCAGGTAGTGGGAATAAAATGATGAACAAGACAGACATTCCTGCTAGCTGTGAAGGGGCTTACACTTTATTGGAAGAGGCAGTCATTAAGCAAATAATTATTCTGATAACTAAATATAGCAAAGATTTAGTACCTGCTTTGTGCAAAATACCTTATATGAATTTTCTACTTTACTCCTTGTAACAGCCCTGTGACATTGATACAGATATTATTTTATTTTATAAATGTGGAAACTGAAGCACAGGAAGATTAATTACTTGCTCAAGATACACAGCTAGTAAGTGATAGAGCCAGGTCTCAAACACAAGCCGTCTGGTTACAGAGATCTTGCTCTCTTTCTTTACCGTAATGCAGTGGTTTTCAATGAGTTTGGGATCATCCTCCAGGAAGTTTGGAAATTTGTAGGGGTGTTTTTTGATTTCAGAATTATTGAGAGGGTGACACTTTAGTGGATGAAGATCAAGCATGTTAGACATCCTATAATGTAAGGGACATCCTCGTATGGTAAAAAATTGTTCTACAGCTTGAATCACTTTCCCAGATGGGGAAATGTCCCAGAGGATGTTCGTGTAGGTGAAAAATCTGTTTATGATTACCTGAGCCTAGAACCAAATTTGTTTTATGTATAAACACAGAGTATTTTTTGCATAGAACGTAGTTGTCATGTCAATCAACAGACTGTGCCTTAGAAAGTTTATCAAGAGTTGGTCACTTTTGGAAAATCACATCACAGACAGCAATGCTATTCATGATATTTTTATCAACAATGTAACGTACCTGTATGAGTCTGTATTTATAGTTGTCACATTCATAGCCTTACATTGTCTAATATAGTCGTACCCAGGCACTAAATGTTGAAATGCATATTATTTTATGATAAATTGCTTTTCTTTTTTGTTATAGTTAGCACATTATATTATTTTAAATTTTACATGTCTTAAGTTACAGTTGCTCTGAATTTCATTTCAGGAATTGTAAGGAGATATTACAAAATATTTATAATAAAAAGTTAGAAAAATATCTTTAAAGAACAAAATTGTGTGTTGACAGTTGGGGAAGCTGGGTGGTGAGCACACTTGTTACAATAATCCCTCATATTTATGTATGAATGAAAATTCCCATAATGTTTTAGAGAAAAAAGAGAGTATTGGATCAGATATGGTTGAGAACTGATGTTCTACTGCCTACCTCAGAAATAGTCACAGTTGTGATAAGTGGAAGGTACAGGACTTTAGGAGAGTAGTGTACAGTGAGGGAATACGACCTGATGTGGGAGATGAGGGAGAGCTTCTCCAGGCAACTGACATTTGCACTGAGATTTGAAGGATGAGTAGTTAACTAGATAGAAAGGAGTAAGAACATTCCAGGAAGAGGGGCCAGCATATGAAAAGCCCTGCGGGGGAAGCATGGTAGGTGAGAAGAACTGAAAATACTATTTTGTCTGGTGCACAGAGATGTAGGGGGAAAGTAGCTCAAACATATGTAGTAAAGATTAGCAAGGATCATATCAAGGAGCCTTATAAGACTTGTTAAATATTTTGGTTTATATCTTAAGTAATTGGATGCCTTT